GCTTGTGTGCTACGGTCCTCCTAAGAGAGGTCTTCCAGCAACTAAGCAGACCCTCAGTCGGTGGATAGTGGATGCCATCTCCTTATGTTACGAGTCCTCTGATCTCCCCTCGCCGTTAGGGGTCAAGGCTCACTCGACGCGAAGTGTGGCAGCCTCTAAGGCCTTCCTATCAGGGGTGCCTATGCAGGACATCTGCAACGCTGCGGGTTGGTCAACGCCCCTTACCTTTGTTAGGTTCTATGAGCTAGACATGCGAGCCACTCCCGGCTCTTCCGTTCTCTCACCCTAGCTGTGCAGTCTTCCACACTAGGCAGAGATTTGGAAGTCTGGCGACGTGGGCATTCTCGTTCCCCTAGTGTTCTCGACGCAGCTCGAGTTCCTGAAGAGGAACGTCTCAGGTTACGTATGTAACCCTAGTTCCTCGAGGGAACGAGACGCTGCGTCTCGGTGCCATACTTCCGGCGTCCCTGCCGGCGCTTGCTTCATTCCTAGAAGCTGACGCTGGCTCCGCCGCACGTGCTTTTATAGCTTCCCGTTCATGACGTCATCCGCCGTGACGTACCGCTCAGCTATTGGACTGATTTCACATGTGATTCAGAGCGTGGGTCACTGAAGGCGTTCCCCTAGTGTTCTCGACGCAGCGTCTCGTTCCCTCGAGGAACTAGGGTTACATACGTAACCTGAGACGTTTTTTATATAAATAAAAAGAAAACAAGTAGATAGAATAGAGAACAAGAATAGGGAACTCTAGTGTCAGAGGGTCTTTTCTTAAATAAAAATAAATCAAGTCAAAGGAATAGAAAAAGAATAGAGATTGCTAGTGTTAGAGGATCATTTTTTATAATAAATAAAAAGAAAACAAGTAGTTAGGATAGAAATAGAATAGAGAAGTGCAAGTGTTAGAGGGTTAAGTTTTGTTGTATTTTTTATAAATAAAAAAGAAAACAAGTAGATAAAATAGAGTTAGAATAGAGTGCTAGAGTTAGAGGGTCAAATGAAGATGGAAGAGATGTGTTTTTAGCCGTTTCTAAAATATAAATCTAAAAATTAAATACATAAATCACACAATAACTGTATTTTTATTATGTTGTTAAAGGGATAGTTTACCTAAAAATGGAAATGTACTTGCCCTCATGTCATTTCAAACCTGTATGAGTTTCTTTGTTCTGTTGATCACAACATAAGACATTTTGAAGAATGTTAGGAACCAAACAGTTGACGGTACCCATTGACTTCCATATTAGGGAAAAAATTCCTATAACCTTTTTTTTTTCCATTTTGTCAGCATAACAATTTAAGTGAATATTCAGAAGTTATTTGTTTTTCTTTTGCAGCACTCACTGATTTGTGTAAAACACATTTCAGCAGAAATTAATAATTAATAACCCAGAAATAATGTAAAATATTTAAAAATCTTAAATATAATAAATATTAGATATGTAATACTTACATATTTATAACTCATTTAACATGTTTTACATTTGTGTTTATTTACTGCTTTAAATTAGATATTAAATCCAAAAAAAAATTATTCTGTATGTCTTGATACATTAATAAATATAGTAATTTTTGTTCATAGTTTATTTATATAATATATATATGTGTGTGTGTGTGTGTGTGTGTGTGTGTGTGTGTGTTTTATGGAAGAATTGTAAAATGTGAAATACCTCATGGGACATCATCTACTTTTTTAAACAAATTGGAAATTAATTTCACTTCCCAAATCTTCCCAAGTGTTTTTTGCTGTTCAGGTTTAAATGTGAGACTTTGAGACAGCATCGCTTCTGATGTAGGCTACTTGCAAGCTGTGAAACAAGGAGGAAACTGAGATCAGGAAACCGACGGACCAATTAAATATATTTATGACGCTGCTTAATTTCATATTACCAACAAAATCATTGCAAGCATCATGAATATGCAATACATCACCGGACACATCTCGTCCAGATGTGATTAATAACTGCAGTGCAGCCGTTCGGCTCTTGATGAGTGGAAATATGTTCGTATGAATCAGTCTGTTTGGCCAGATGATAATATTTGGCTAGCGCTGACCCAGATATTGATATAGAGAAGTCTTTCCGCTGAGAGGGAACGTGAAATCTGCTGTTGGCCAGAGGACAGACCTAATTAATGGCTTTTGTGTTTGTTCTTATGTCCAAAGCCGTTTTCTGTCATCTCCACTAATGCTCCTTTTTCCTGTTGACGGTGTCTTTCTGTATCACAACTATGTTGAAACCCACCGTCACTGTGTCTCATTCACTAATAATCACACACGAGGTTTGAGTTTTGCCTGTGTACGTTATTCATATCCCTCAAGAAGGCTGAGAGCTGATCTTTATTCTGTGCAGACAGATGAATATCTGAACAAGCTCTTATTCTCTCTGATTTATTAATGTGTGTTTTACTGTCTGTTGCATTAACTCTTGCACTGATCCTCTTTGATTCAGAAAGAACATCTCTCTGATTCTAAACTGTAGCCAGACTCTAGGCAATGAAAAATGTGAATCTTGTAAAAAATAATGCCTTGCCTTTACATACTGTAGTACTGAAAATACAGACTTGCAGTTACTGTATATTAGACATTATGATGGTAAAACTGTGGTATTTTGATATATGCGTACACTGAATGATTACAATATGATTGTCCTGGTTTTTATATGACAGTAATTGAAGTTACACTATGGTAAATGTCTGAAGAAAAAAAATATATATATATATACAGTATATATAAATATAATGTGCTACTGTATGCACATTAAAAATTTGATTAAAAATACAGTGAAAACAGTATTATGTGAATCTCTGTTAAACTGAAATGTATTTCTGTGATGCGCAGCTGTATTTTCAGCATCATTCCTCCAGTCTTCAGTGTCACATGATCTTCAGAAATCAGTATAATATGCTGATCTGCTGCTCAAGAAACATTTCTGATTATTATCAATGTTGAACACAGTCGTGCTGCACAATATTTTTGTGGAAACCGTGATACATTTTATTTTTCAGGATTCACAGATGAACAGAAAGTTCAAAAGAACAGCATTTATTTGAAATTGAAATCTTTTGCAACATTATAAATGTCTTCACTGGCACATTTGATTTAATGAAGCCTTGCTGAATAAAAGTATTAATTTCTTAAAAGAAAAAAAAAAACTTACTGACCACAAACAAACTGTGTGTGTGTGTGTGTGTGTGTGTGTTTCTTTTGTTATTTGCATTCGATTAAATTCAAGTTTGATTCTGCATGTTCCAGTTTGAGTGTTTAAATGGTCTTGTCATCCTATATTACTATAGTACTGTGGCCAAAAAACATAGTAATACCATGCTATTTTTGGTACTTTTTGTTAGCGCTGTAAGCAGCTGTAAATCTGTACCTTAACAGCATTAAATGTATCTCTGAAGAATACATCTCAAAGTATCCTCCCTCTGAAGCATGCAGCTGTTTGCAACTATTTTCTCTTAATTGTATGAATTATTGCTGCTACATTAATGCTGCACCAGCCTTTGGCACATAAACATGCAACCCCTGAACATCTAAATGAAATGCATTTGGACAGCAGTTCTCCTCTGCTTGTGTTTGTTGTCTTCTGCTCAGTTGTGGTCTGTCTGTAACTAGCGTAATGTGTTTCTGACCCCTGTCTTTCCAGAGAACATTTGAGGACACACTGGGTTTGGTTATGGGAGCAGGGAGGGGCTTTGGCTTAATGTCATTGTGATGGCAAAAGCCGCTGAGTTTGGGCTTGTGGGGCGCCGATTGAAAAGCCGTTCTAAAAAGTCCTAGGTGCCTCCTTGAAAAACAATCGTGATTCTATGGTTAACTGCCACAGGGAACAAAACAAGCCAGTCGTGTGCTTTCATAGACTCCGTCACCGCTGCAGCTGCATAGCAACACCTTAGCAACCACCACGGGTACCCTAGCAACCACATAGCAACACCTTAGCAACCATCCCCGGGTACCCTAGCAAATGCATAGCAACACCCTAGCAACCACCCCGAGTATCTTAGCAACCGCATAGCTACACCTTAGCAACCGCTCCGGGAACCCTAGCCACCGCATAGCAACACCCTAGCAACCGCCCCGAGTACCATAGCAACCACATAGCAACACCCTAGCAACCACCCCAGGTACCTTAGCAACCACTTAGCAACACCTTAGCAACCGCCCCGGGTACCCTAGCAACCGCATAGCAACACCTTAGCATCCCAGAACACAAAGAGCATTCTATCACACGCACACACGCTTATATTCTGATAAGCCAAGGGCTACAATAAAGCCAATAACAATAGATCAATCTTTTTTTTTTTTAACTATGAATTGAATTTATTTTTACAAGTATTTAAAAAATTTAAAAAATAAAAATTGTTAATGAATTTCATCAGAAAAAATGTTTTTTTTTTAAATATTCTAATAAGCCGTGTGGTACAATAAAGCCAATAACAATAGCTGAACGTATTTTAATTGTAGTTTTAGTATTATGTATTTGTATTTGTAATTGTATTTTAGTTTATGAATTTAATATATTTTTACAAGTATTTGAAAAAAATCCACTTTTTTATTTCTGATACGCCAAAGGGTATAATAAAGGCAATTTAAATTTTGATTAAAATTTTAAATAAAAAAATGATATTTGAATTATTTTTAAATGATAAATTTAATTCACATTTTACAATTATTTTACTTTAAAAAGGTTTTTAAAAACCTTTTCATCAAATAAATAACTTATTATATTCTGATAAGCCAATGAGTACAATAAAGCTAAAGACAATCTTCTATTTATTTATTTATTTTACTATTAATTAATTATTTGGGAAGGTCAGGAATGAAGCTAAATATTAGTAACATACTGTATTTCCAGTCCATATGTTATGAACCATTTGATTCCCTTGAGGTAACAAACTTAATGAAATAGAATGAAAATCATGCAATACAAAGAGAGAAAAAAACTGATTACCAGCAGTTAACACCAATCTGGGTTTTTTTGTGTTTTTTTTTGTATTCACAGCGATTTAACTTTGTGTCCCTGCCGACTGACGTTTTGGAGATTGAGGTTAAAGATAAATTTTCCAAGAGCAGACCCATCATCAAACGCTTCCTGGGAAAGTTAGTTGTGCCCGTACAGAGGCTGCTGGAGAAACATGCTATCGGGTAGGTCTCTGCTAATTCATTTCATCTGACTGGGAGTCTGCGGAGGACTGTGATTGCACTCTAATTCTTGACTCGTTTCTCAAATTACTGGTCCATCTGTGCATCGTTTTTACTGACAGGGTTTCAGTTTTCATAGGCCTAAATATATCTATTTATTTCTACTGTGTACAAGAAGGTACATTCATTTAAAAGATAGACTCATGCAGTGAGGTTTTTGATGTGCCACTCAATTTATTTTATAGTTAATTGCCTGTGGGATTTAACATGTCAAGCATCCTTGTCTCTCATGTGTGTAAACAGGGACCGTGTGGTGAGTTACACTTTAGGCCGACGGCTTCCAACAGATCATGTCAGCGGCCAGCTGCAGTTTCGTTTTGAGATAACCTCGTCAATGCATCCAGGTCTGCAGCATGTTTGCTAATGAATCTGTTCTCACAAACATAAGCAAAACCCACAGTACAAATACTGAGATCATTTATGTCTTTGTTACTATATTAATCATGTTAATTATGTCATTTAAGACAAAGTAGTATTTATTTTTATAGTCATTTTATTTAATTGTTTTATTTTGTTTGATATTTATTATTATTGTTTTTGCACGTACACATTTGTCAGATGTTTTATCCGAAGCTACATTTTATATAAAAGTATACATTTTATTGGTTTATGCATTCCCCAGGAATTGAACCAATGACTTTGTTGTTGCTAGCACCATGATAATCATTTGGAGCTTCACTGTCAGACAAATGTGCAAAATGTTTACCTTTAGGTGTACAACAGCTTGACACATTTGTACCCCTAAAGGGTGCATATCAGTACCTTACAGTAGTGATATTTACCCTTCAGGTAATAATATGTACTCTTGTGGTACTATTATGAACCCGTTAGGGGTAAAGACAGTAAAAAGGTGTCCTTTTGAGGGTACTGCCCCACTGAAAAGCTGTTGTACCCCTAAAAATACTTTTTTTTTCTGACAGTGTAGAGTAGTTCTAGCAGTATTGCAGGAACCATCCCCAATGTTTAATATGTCCAAAATTGTTGCAGGAATAACCTACAGGATTAGTTCACTCAGCAATAAAAACTGTCATCATTTACTCACCATCATGTCATTCCAAAGTATCGTGAAAGTTGCCCATATGGCTTGGGTGTTAAATACCCTGTTGGGATTTGAGAGCTGTGCCGGAAAGGAAGCATCCGTTGCTTCAGATGACTTATATGCAGTGCTTTAGTTTACTTTGTTGTCCTCTTTGGAGACTGACAGTCTCTGGTCACTCTGGTCACTAAATTATCAATCCCTGGTGCTTTTGTATGGGAAAGAGTGGTGTGAATATTCTTTAGAATGTGTCTTTTTGTGTTCCATGGAAGAATTTTGGGGTTGGACCGACGTGAATAAATGATGACAGGTGGCAGAGCAACTTCCTTAAAACAGGGAATTTCCAAAACAATCTTCTGGCTGTTTAAGTATTTTGCGTTTTGCTGAATTGGTTGCGAGTTCATATGAATTTTCAGTAACACTTTAGATTAGGGGACACATATTCACTAAGAGTTTAAACTCCTAATTTGCAGCTTATTGATAGTAAGGTAATTGTTTTTAGTAGTTATGTTTAGGTATGGGGTGGTGTAGAAATGGTCCTGCAGAATAAGGTATTAATATGTGTTTGTAGGAGTGGACCTTCATGCTTACTACTTTTTCTAAATATTGTATGTTTCCTGTGAGATTAGTTTGGAATTTCTAGACTGATTATTGCTAAAGGTATCTTGTGTTATTTCATAGCTGATCTGTTTAACCATATTGACAGATTTGCTTATTCTCTCTGGTAGATGATGAGGAGGTGTCCCCCAATGCAATGCCAGTCTTTGATACGACACCTGAGCAGGAGCCCAATGAGGACCTACCACCAGCTTCTGATCTGCCTCTGGAGGATGCATTGAGTTTGGGACCTGACATTCTGGAGCCGCCTAACGAAAGTCCTCCAGAGGTGGAGCCCCAAGATGCTGTGCTGCTCACCTCTCTAGATGAGCCCAGTAAGGATACCCAACCAGAAGCAGAAGGATCAGCTGATGAGCTTGTAACAGCTCGAGCAGAGACACTATTGAGCAATGCCACTCAAGGAGAAACTGCAGAGCAAGACCCTGGAAAAACAGAGTCCGAGGAGATGCAGGAGGAAACTGTGACTGAGACTCTTTTGGAGGTTCTGGAGAACCATGAAGCTGAAGACACAGGTGGACCAACTGGAATGGGACCTACTGGGGTGCATGCAGAGGTTGAGAGAGGCACAAGCTCAGAGCAGTTGGAAGGAGATGGGAATGAGGAAGAACCCTGCTCGCCAAGGATGCGGAGTGCCTTGAAGTGCAAGAGCCGACCCTGTTCGCTTCCGGTGTCCGAGTTAGAGACGGTCATCGCCTCGGCCTGTGATGAACCAGAGACACCACGTTCTCACTACATCCGCATTCATCATCTGCTGCACAGCTTGCCATCAGCTCAGTGCCACAATGACAGCCAAGATGAAGACGAGGTACTTGACCCAGAATCTTCTGAGGAAGTCACTCTGAAACCCCAAGAGGACAAAGAGGAAGAAGACGAGGTGTCAGAAGCCCAGTCTCCATCCATCGTGCCCGAGTGTCCTAGACCTTGTTGCAGGCGTACCCTACCACATAGCCTCTCCATCGAGCGCCTGTCCGAGCTCAACCAACTTTTGGAAGGTGAAAGACCCTCACCTTCCACCCTCCGACTGGAAATCGAACACATGGAAGTGGGTGGTGGAGGCGGAAGCAGAAGGGAACCTCGAGAGAGTGAGTGCGAACTGTGTGATAACTCCTGCTACAGCACTTCCTGTTACAGCACGTCCTGTTACAGCACTTCCTGTTACAGTAACTCAGGTTATGAGGGGCGTAACCACCTTTGCAGCCACACACGCCTCTCTTCAGTTGACAGCACCCGTCTGTCGGAGAGCACCGTTTTCTCCTCGCAGGAGGAAGAGGAGGAGGAGAACAGTGCTTTTGAGTCCATCTCGGACTCAGTGCAGAGTCCAGATATAAGGGAGCCAGGAGACGGGTTGCTTCATTGGAGGGAGTCATCATCGGAAGAAAGTGCCCAGAGAGAAGGGGAGGTGGAGATCTCACCAGTACCTGGGCCTAGTGTAAGGTCAACAGGTGAGGAGCCTTGTCCAAATTACGCATTGCAGAAAAGTCTTGGATGTTTGCTAAAACGTGTTGCTTGGAGCAGTTGCTCAAATACACAGGGATTGTTGATGTTTCATTGTCAACGAAATGATTTGATTAATTTTATCTCATGTTAGCATCCCTCTTGTCCAGTGGTTGTCAAACTGTTTACAGTGACATACTGGGCATTTAACATTCTGAGTGTCAAACTCAGTTTCTGGAGGGCCGCACCCTGCTCTAACACGCAAACCATCTAGTTTTCAAATAAGCCTGAAGGACTTGATTAGATGGATCAGGTGTTTTTAATTAGGGTTGGAGCTAAACTTTTTTAGGAGTTTGACACCCCTGCTCTAGATCAAAATTTGTTATCATTACAACACTTCAAAGATTTTACATACCCAAAGGTATCAAGACAGTTGCGAAAGGTAATCAGTGGAAGTGTGATGTGTCAGAACTAATAAGGATTAGAGTGACAACTGAATATACAACTCATAATAGCTTACTTTATGTCCTCCGTGTTTACTTCCATATGACTGCGCGCTGCACAAGTATTGCCAAATCCACTGTTTCCCTGCGGAATTGGGCTACTTTTAGCCCCTGTTGTTTTTCAACTTTGTGGGTTGACGCGACCCCACTAGTGCAATATTTACCCCTCAGAACATGATTGGGCTAGTTTTGGACTAGTTGTGAGAAGCAATTGGGCAGATTTTGTTGTGAAAACCTGTAAAACCCTGTTTTGCGCATGCGGGTCAGTTCAAACTGTAAATCTGATATTGGCTACATTTTAAACAACAATGTGAACAGCTATACAGAAAAATTGGATCTGAGCAAAAGTTGGAATTGAGCACGGTGCGTTTCCACTACAGCGTCAAATCTGCGCTCAGTGCCGCTGGCAATGCTACAATGCCACTGCTTTGGGGCGTGTAAAATTTAGGGCAGAGCACGCCTCTGAAAAACACCCTGTTTACATTTAATCTTCTTCCTTTCACGGTGATTGGTTGTCACCTGGCGTTTATCGCTCTACATTTGCATAAAGTCGAGGAATGCCCAATCTTTTTGACACTCTCAGCCGCTGTCAACGCTTTCTCCACGCGGCAATCCCATAATACACCGCGCGAGCGTTTAAGCTCAACTTCCATAGGAATGAATTGAAAACGCCAATCTGCTGCACTCACTATGTGCCAGTGGAAACGCACCGTAAGGCTCGCAGTGTGAACGCAGCCCAAGGGTGGCCAATGTTGGTCCTGGAGGGCCACAGTCCTGCAGAGTTTAGCTCCAAATCGCCTCAACACACCTGCCTGGAAGTTTCTAGTATGCTTAGTAAGACCTTGATTAGCTTGTTCAGGTGTGTTTAATTGGGGTTGAAGTTAAACTCTGTAGGACAGTGGCCCTCCAGGAGCAGGACTGGACACTCCTGCGCTAATCCCAGTGAGCAGTTGAGTTCATAAGTTTAGTTACTTTCATGTCAGCTTGAGTTATGTTCAGAATGCTCTCCAGATTTAGGGCTGAACAGGAAAGTTACCAATGGGTCAGTCCTGTAACTAATGATGAATGCACAGTTTGCAGAGAAGCTTGCTCATCGGTTCATATTGTTGAACAATTCGGCCGAGCTGCTATTTTGGATTCTGAAGTCAAGGTTGTTGCGTTTCCTCTGAGTTTCCGAGTCGGAACTCCGACTTTAGGGTGTTCCAGTTAAAAGTTCCTACTGGGAACTCGGAATTTCCAACTTCTGAGTACAAATGAAATGCACCAAAAACTTAGCAGGATAGTGGGTCTCCAGGAGCAGGGTTAAAGACCTATGGCTTACTGCGTAGTGCGTACTGCACAATATAATCTAGTATGCTAGATGGTTGTCACAATTCCTCATTACATGGCGTGGTTAATTGAAGAAATAGCTTCCAACTATGTCTTGTTAGTATCCCACTAATCCCAATGAGCAATTGGTTTCGGAAGTTCCGTTATATTATCATGTTAGCATCCAGCTTAATGAGCATTTAAGTTGGAATGCATAATTCACATATTATTCTTTATTATAATTGTAATTATAGTTACCAAAGAAATTAAATTGCTATTTTTGTATGTTTAATCCAGTATTGTGTTAAATGTCTTTTGTGTTAAATTGACAGAAAGCGATGCTGAAAATGTAACTGTGTGCAGTTGGTCATCTATGTGCATATTGACTGGTTATACACACTGCATACTACAGAAATGTAACTAGTAGTATGATACTGGACATAGCAATTATTGAAACACTCTCATAACACTTTTCAGCTAGCTTTCTATGGTTAAGTTGTTGTAATGGGTTGTTTTTATACTTCATTAAAGCACAGGCAGAATTTGTCACATAACAATTCAGGGTGTAAACTCCGGGGGAGCTAGGGGCAGCTCGGCTCCCCTTACTAAGACATAGGCTCCCCTGAAAACGTGATTTGTGAAATTTTGGGGGGTCTCAAAAAATATTGACAACATGTTAATTTTGACATGCAATTTCAGTTTTGTGTAATGTGATCATCGTGGATTATTATGTGTAAAATTGCAAAAATATCATTCATTCATGCATGACAGCGATTTAAACCTAATTCACTTCAATAAAGATAACTATACGTGCTATTCTTGTCATGAGCATCAAGCTGTGGGGCGCAGTGGTGCAAATTCCACTCATGTTTAGTACGTTAACTCAAAGATTCGTAGAAAAAATATAAACGGTGGACTCTCACGCACAAGCGCACCTTCACTGCCCACATTTAATAGACAGTCACCAGAAAGGCTACCTGGTCCATGATATCTCAATGAATTTGTTTATGAGATATTACTTGTATAAGGCGAATTCAGGTAATTTGTGTAACATTTTGACAACTTTGGCCCTGAATTCAGCCTATATATTATTCATGCTGGTGGTTCTCAACTTGTTTTGCTTCAGAACCTAGATTTTAAACACAATAGAGTCCCAAAATTGTATATATATATATATATAAAAAAAAAATCTATATATATATATATAGAGAGAGAGAGAGAGAGAGAGAGAGAGAAACACAATAAAAAATATTTGATTTAGTTATTACATTTATTGCAGTTTTTAGATTTAATTATATTTGTGTGTGTGTGAGACACTGGCAGGAGAATTCTCAGCCCACCAGTTGAGAACCACTGATTTATGGCATATGTAGATTGTCATAAGTCATGGGCCTGTATTTGATTTTGTTTGTAGGCAGTTGTCATATGCAATGCCGTCATCATGCAATCACTCAGCTTCCTGCTTTCCGGCCTGATCCCCATCATCACCCAAGTGTTGATGAACCATTACCACCAAGTAAGCTTTCCTGAGTCCCTTGCTTATGCCATTAACCTGCTACCTTCATTTGTGTGTGTGTGTGTGTGTGTGTGTGTGTGTGTGTGTGTCCTATCCTAACAAACCATACATCAATGGAAAGCTTATTTATTCAGCTTTCAGATGATGCATGCATCTCAATTTCAAAAAATTATGACTGGTTTTGTGCTCCAGGGTCACATACATGGTGACTTTAAGTGTTAATTTTTAGCCCTGTAGAATATATTCTACTCTTTTCTATAAAGCTACTCTTTTAAATGTGTTGTTGTCATGCTCGTGAATTGATCAGGTTGGAATGAATGGAGCAAAAACAGCTTCAAGTATATTTGAGCTGACGCTGCCACCTACAGAACACACACTGAATCTGTCTGTGAAACACTACAGCTAACAGGAGCATTTGAGGTTTTTATGTTAAATGGATCAAAAGTGACAGTAAAGACATTTATGATGTTACAAAAGATTTCAGTTTCAAATAAATGCTGTTCTTTTGAACTTTCTATTCATCTGTGAATCCTGAAAAATAAAATGCATCATGGTTTCCACAAAAATATTGTGCAGCACGACAATGTGTTCAACATTGATAATAATCAGAAATGTTTCTCGAGCAGCAGATCAGCATATTATACTGATTTCTGAAGATCATGTGACACTGAAGACTGGAGGAATGATGCTGAAAATACAGCTGCGCATCACAGAAATACATTACAGTTTAACAGATACTCACATAGAAAACAGCTGTTTTACATTAGAATAATATTTCACAATATTACTGTTTTTACTGTACAAATAGTGTATATTAGAACGGTGATTACTGTATTTCTGATCAAATAAATGCAGCCTGGGTGAGCAGAAGAGTATAGCTCTTTTAAAAAAAATTAAGATGTTACTGACATCATCAATGTAAACGAATTTTTTGACAATTTTAACCGCAATACCATGCTGGTAGCTTTTTTTTTTTTATTATTATTCATCTTTGAAATTCATAAAAAAGAGAAGCTTTAAAATTCCTATAAAAATAAGCTAAATGTATTGTTATTATCATTAAATAATATGTAAAAATAAATAATCAATCAAATAATTTTGATTGATGTATTATCAAGATATTAAATAATATCTTAAATAATATTAAACAAACAAATTCACATTATCAAAAAGAGAGCAATCCTCTCATAAAATGCAGAGTATGTGAATAATACTTGAGGAATTGTGGCAAACACTCTGTTCTGAGCTTATTGTCACAATGAAAAAAAAACAACAGGATGCTTTTCATAAGTTTTCTTCATATAAAGATGCACATTGTTTTCCATTAAGAACAGCGATAGTTTGAGCACAATGTTGTTTTGTCATCAGATATCAGAACATCCAGAGGACGATGGCCACCGAAGACGAACCGGCCGGCCGCGGACCTGAGAGAAACCGCGCAGGAGACACAGACACTGAATCCACTACACAAGCTCCAGGTGGGCCTTTCTTTAGATGCTGTTTGATGAGAATAAATTGAGTGTTTAGTTTTGAGCAGTTGCGGAGCTCTGTGTTAGCAGACAGGCTGCCAGAAAACACATCATGTGTCATAGATCCTGAATTTTAAGTTCAAATGTATGTATTTCAATTTAAAATTCAACCAGAAAGTGAGATGCTTGTAGAAACCAGTAGACTGAAGAGAGGTGATCTTCTAAACTCCAACTTGGATGCATTTATTGATTAGTAATTCTGTACTGTTCCAAGCTAAAAGGAAAAATGCTGAAATTTCGGAAAATGTGCTCACCCTCAGATCATCCGAGATCAGGATGAGTTTGTTTCTTCATCAGGTTTGGAGAAATGTAGCACTGCATCAGTGTCTCAGCAATGGATGCTCTGCAGTGAATGGGTGCCGTCAGAATGAGAGTCCAAACAGCTGATAAAACATCACAATAATCCACAGCACTCCAGTCCATCAGTTAACATCTGGAGAAGACAAAAGCTGAAACTAATCCAGCATTAAGACATTTTTAACTAAAATACATTGAGTCTATAATCCATAATAACGCTTCCTCCAGTGAAAACGTGCATCTGCTGTTGTCTCTCGCATCAGAATCCAGCCTCATATGTGTTTAGAGCTGTTTAAACCCTGCTTGATCTGTGCAGATTTCTCTCCTGATTCACACCAGAACACTGACTCACTGGAGGAAG